ATGTATGTATGTATGTTTTTTAGGGGAAAGTGAGTGCTTAATTTTTGTCGGAGAGATCTTCCTGTGTGGATGTGTTTTGCTTCATGAAAAATAAATGAGACCTGCTTGTTATGTTTTGTTGTGCGAGCTTCAAGGTCGAACCTTCTCAGTTCGTCTTTAGTTTCAGCTTTGTGCTTGTGTTCGCTCGTAATTGTCGGTTGAGCGAAGTTAGGCCTCTCAAGTCATCTATACCGTTATATTTATCTTTTATTTCTTTTTACAGGCTGCGCTCGTTCGTAAAATCTTGTTTTTATTACTCAAAAATAAACTTGTATCTCTGCGCGCCGCCCTGTTATTTCTTCTATGTATTTTTTTACAGAAAATTTTTGTAGAAAATATTGACCGTGTAATTTTTTACGCAAAGTTTGAAGCGACGAGATCTTTCTGTGCCGAGTTTTCTTGTTTGATGAAAAATAAATGAGAGAGGAAGATAAGCGGCTTTGAGGTTTTTGTTGAACGAGCTCCAAGGTCTAACCCAGTTCGATTTTAGTCTTGAAATTGTGATTGAGTGTGTTCACTTCTAATTGTCGGTTGAACGAAATTAGGGTTCTCAAAGTCAACTATACCGTTTTCCCCGCCTTTAACTGCCAATTTTTGTAGGACAAAATGTGCACGAGCACGTAATTTTTCTGGAGATTTTGAAGCAAACTTCCAGGCCAAACCTTGAATTTCCAAATCAAAGGGTGGTGAATGGCCCTTCAAAAACCATGTGTCTCGCAAAATGTTCGTCGAATTTTACTGTACTTCCAGTTCAGTTTTTTCAATACACTTTGAAGTCCGGTTTAATTTCGCAATTTAGAAAGTAGCAAATGTCTCGGGCGCGCTATTTTCGCCTTCTCCCAAAGTCCCGCAGTTGCCATTCGCCACCGCTTTATGGGAGCTTCAAGTTCTAACCTACTCAATCTGAGTCTTAAAGTTTGTGCTTGTGTTTACTTGTAATTGTCGGTTGAAAGCAATTTTAACAGGCAATTTTTGTATGAAAAAATGAGTCGCAGTTTGTGCCGGAAAATTTGACCAGACGAGATCTTCCGCTTTGTGGATGTTTTTTTGCGGCATAAAATATAAACATGAATGAGGCAATGAGTTAAACAGCTTATTAGGTTCTGTTGCGCGAGTTTCAAGGTCGAGCTTACTTAGTTCAAGAGCTGAGCTTACTCTTGAGTTTACTTGTAACTGTCAACTGAACAAAATTAGGCCTCTTAATTCACATGTCTGATTCAGTTTACATTGGTGACACCTATATTGAAATTGTACATTGTTGAAGAAAACGTTTGATCCGTTTTCTCTCTAGGTCTTGAAGAAAGTAGTTTGCTAAAACGAACTTATCAAAATGCATTTCAAAGAGTTTGTCATTAAGTACTTACCCCAATACTGAAGTGATGGAAAAGTTGGCTGCTGATGAACTTGCCCGAGTTGTTGTACTTGTCAGATGGAAGTAGTTCACATAAGATTCTTCCGTTGATGTCATAAAATGCAGCCAGGTTGAAGGAGAAACATGACGGTATGTTAACACATGCAAAGCCACATTCTTTTCCGTTGAGGACATAATCAGTACCAAGACTTGTAATGTTTAAGTACGAGAACTTGTGGGCCTTAAAGTTGGCAAAAGTGACGCCATTGTGAACTCCTCGGCTGATACTTTGAGCGCGTGCATCAATGACGTTAGGTGAACCTGTGTTGATTTCATCCGCAAAGACATGATTACGAAGTCTCTCAAAGGTTTTCACTAAGTTCTGAATCGGTTAAAGAACATGCATTTTTGTTAAAGAAAGTATATAAATGGAGCGGTACCTTTTGAACTTGGAATGGCGCTGAACGATATCGTCAAAGCCAAAACCATGGTAGAACATTGAAAAAGATCCATCCGAAACATGGATCAGGGCCGCCAAGTTCCGCGGCTTACTACCTATAAATTATGACGAATGATGCACCACTCGAAGCTGTTTACAAGGAATATGAATATTTTTCCAGAACGTCTGTTTTTGCGAAATTGAGAAGATTCACTTTCAATGTAGATTATTAAAGACTTTCGGGCGCGATATTCTAATTATACTGCATACGTTCTGAACGAAATTAATATTTTTCCAGAACGTCTGTTTTTGCGAAATTGAGAAGATTCACTTTCAATGTAGATTATTAAAGACTCTCGGGCGCGATATTCTAATTATACTGCATACGTTCTGAACGAAATTAATAT